GGTCCCCTAGGGGAGTGTCCACCAGGTGGGAGACCTGCATAAATACCGGGCGGGTAGCCCACAGTAAATCAGATCGTTTTACCCCTTCATGAAGTCTCGACTCATGTTTGGGGGATTGGGAGTTATAATCACTTCCTTTCAGCTGGATTTCGGGAGAAGCTGCAAGGATCATCGCTGCACAAATAGAAAGATCCTTTACAGTATCTATCTAGGAGCACTCTCAAATTTTATTAGTGTGAAGAAATGAAAATTTCTTCATGAAAGCTGATTAAAGTATAATTTTTATTTTTCTGTTCTGGAATCTATCAAGCATACATTTTTGTTGGCCACTAGAGGAATAGGACATGGGGTTATTCACGCAAAGTTTGAATGGGTGGGGCAACTTCCATGGTATAATGGAATTGGTTCTGTGACCTCTGGATGCTTATAGGTTTTAATAGGCCAAGATTGTATCAGTGTATATCAAGTGCACATGAATGAATATCAAATTGCACTAAAAAATTAAATACAATAACCTGCTTTCATAAATATAATGTGTTAATCATTCATAGGATAATAACTTAATTTTCCTGCAGCACTTAGAAGAAATAGGGGTAACTCATGAATATGGAATTAACATAATCATTGGGTTAATATTCACAAATTATATTAAGATAATTATGCACATATATTAATTTTTAATATACAGGCTTTAAGAACTATTCGGTTTTTTTTCTCTCTGAAAAGTGTAACTCATTTGAATAATATATTTGTATAGCTATATTCCACAGGTGCTAAAATATAATTAGTATATACATGTATATATCAGAATGAATGCAGGCAGCATATGGTAACAGAAGCATATGGTAACAGCAGCAATACATGGCATATACAATAAAAATAGCATCATATTTGTGCATTTAAAATATTACCAATTATACACTACATGATCAAATAATATGGGTGCCCCTTCTAATCAGTGTACTGAAATTTTTCAACCACCAATGTTGATAAATGTTTAAGCCATGGAGGTGTCAAGCACACAGACATGCAATATTCAGAGGCAAATTGTGGCAATTCACTGGCCCATAATGTACTGGCAAAAGTGATCAATTGTCTTGTCTGCTAGAGCTGCACCAGTCAAACATCATGTGCTGTTTTAGGAGGCAACAAAGGCTTGCTCACAAAGTAGTAAACCACATATGCTCTAAGAAAAAGAAGAAAGAAAGAGCTGGACAGGAATAGCAACAAAAGTATGAATTATGAAAAATTATTTTAAAATTGTGTGCCAAAATATCCAAACTTTTAGGAGGCAACAAATGCTTGGTCACAAAGTAGTAAGCCACATATGCTCTAAGAAAAAGAACAAAGACAGAGCTGGACAGGGATAGCAACAAAAGTATCAATTGTGAAAAGTGATTTTAAAATTTGGGGCCAAAATATCCAAACTGAAAACATGTTTCACTCTGAGTATTTTTGGGTTTTTTTTGAAAATTTGTTTATTTATTTGTAGGTTCTGCATTTGTAAAGTGGTAAGACTCGCAGGTCTAGACACGTTTATAATAAAAGCATAACATGAGTAAGGAAATCTGGTGATTCATGAGAGAAAAAAAAAAAAGGAAAAAAAGAATACATCTTGCATGCCCATGATCTGCTAGTTTACGGAATGAGTGGACACGCAGGTCCGCATTAACTTTCCGAAAAGTGGGTCTAGTTACTCTCACTCCACAAAAGGGAACATACCCACTCAATCCTTTTATAACATTGAAAAACTCCAGGTATCAATCAAAATTGGGAACTTTACATAACATGTAACTGATATTCAGTACTCGGGGCTATAGTTTCCCCATGACTGTTACCTATGGCAGAGCTCGTGTGGCATTCGGGAGTTCCTGCGCCAAATTGTGATGCCCGATTCCCTGTGTCAGGTCCCTGTGTGGTAATTGTCATAGTTCTATCTAGCATGAATGTTACTCATGTACGTGAGAAGGACGAGTTATGTGTCTATCTGACTGCCAGATGTTCATATGTATGTTATATTCTCGTATGCGCCGGGTATCTAAACCACAGTGCGTCCTAGGTCTCCGCGTCTTGTTTAAATCTTCGTGTGTTTGTTAGTGTCCCTCTATAAATGTACGTTTGTTCATCTCTATTACCCTTCTGGTATATTCTGTGATTTGTCTGTCTCGTATTCAGTCTATCTGGCCTCGATCCCAGTCACCCCGGGCCCCAGTATGCAAATAAAAGGGGGTAAGGAAGAGGATAGAAACAAGAGTAGAGACAATCAAGCCACTTGGGGTGTGATCCCTCCTGCAAGGCCCGCCCCAGCCTGCGCCCCCGCCGCGGGCCTCCGCACATCTCCATCTCTACGATAACAGGAGATGTATAAGAACCACGGCGTCCACATCTCCGCGTGCCTGGTTCCTCGTCCCGTCACAGTAGCATGTGCTTCTTCTGCTCCCTGGATCTCTTCTACTCTACAGATCCACTCTTTTTTGGTAGGAATTTCACATTTTTTCCAGTGGGCTGGGATGTTGGCCTTGGCGGCATTAAGCAGGTGTCGTAATATCGATTTCTTGTATGACCCTATGGACTGTGTCGAGATGTGTAGCAATGCCAATTCCGCATTCCATTCTGGTAGGTCTCCCAGGATGAGCACCACTGTTTCCTTAATCATTTCCCAGTATGGGATGATAGTTCTGCACTCCCACCAGATGTGTAGCACTGTGCCGCGTGTTTCCTGGCACCTCCAGCACACCGGGGGAATTGAAGGGAATATGTGGTGCAGAAAAATTGGTGTTCTATACCATAAGGAGATCAGTTTGTAATTAATTTCCTGGTAATATGAGCTCATAGAACTCTTATGCTGCCAGAGCAATGAGCAATGCCGTATCCCATTGCTGTGTTGTGAGTGATATTCCAAGTTGTTCTTCCCATTGCCGTTTGAACGTTGTAGCCGTAGGCATGTCTCCGATTAGTAGATGTTGATATAGTGCAGAGATTGCATGTTCTATTGTGGTGCCTCGGTCGCAGAGGCCTTCAAACCACGTGAGGTCCCTGTGCAATCGATCTTTGTGCGGATTCGAATCGTAAAAATGTTTCAATTGTAGATATCTAAATTGGAGGAGAGGGGTCCGCGGTCTGTCGCCTAACATCGAAAGGAGGGCCTGCAGTCTCCCGTCCTCGAGGACCTTATGTATGGGTATGTACAACTCAGTGTCTTGGATGGGCAATGCTCCAGGAGGAAGTCCCCCCCCTATGGCTGGGTTATGCGTGATAGGTATCATTGGGCTGGGCATGGGGGATACGTGGTCTTGTGTTCTCAGTGTTTTCCGACAATGTAGGGTCTGTAGGATCAGTCCTTCTTCAGCAAGATGAGTAGGAAATCTACCTGGGCTTCCCCAGATCTTCGCCTCCATCATTGGCCCGATAAGACCCCCGTCGAGCTCCACCCATTGTTTGGTCTTCTGTGCTAAGTGCCAATCCAGTATACGTTGCATGATGGTGGCCTGGTGGTATTTCCTGAAATCTGGTAATGCTAGCCCTCCTTAAATTCTAGGTCGGCAGATGATGTCGTGTCGAATCCTGGATCGTCCTCCTCGCCAGATGAATTTGATCACTGCCGTTTTCAGGGTGGAAAGAAAGTCGACGGTATTACGAGAGGTATAGTCTGCATGAGGTATAGGATCCTCGGGAGGATATTCATTTTGATCACCGCAATCCTTATGTGTGGATAAGACCACCTGGACAGGTCCGCGAGTACGTTCTTTAGTAAGGGCGTAAAATTATGTTGATATATGTCCCCCGGGGTCGTGGTCACCCAGATGCCCAGGTATTTCATCTTGTCGCGGCACCAGTGGAACGCGAATTCCGATTCCAAAGACCGGTACTCATCTGTGGGGAGTGTTAAATTCAGGACCTCACATTTCGAGACGTGAAGCTTAAATCCAGATATCTGGCCGAATCTATCAAATTCGGAGAGGAGACACGGTATTGTGATCCTGGGGTTGCGGACAAAGAAAAGGAAATCATCTGCGTACACAGCAACTTTATGTTGTACTCCCTGCCATTCATAGCCCTGTATGTCCGGATTTTGGCGGATTGCCTGTAGCAGTGGTTCCAAGGTCAGCGCAAACAGCAAAGGTGAAAGTGGGCATCCCTGTCGGGTCCCATTGTTTATTGCGAAGTCTGCGGTCGTGGCCCCATTAATCCTCACGGATGCACGTTGTTTGCTATAAATGGCAGATATCCATGTAAGGAGTCTCTGACCGCAGCCTAGCCGTCTTAGTGTCGCCAGCATATATGTCCAGTTGACCCAGTCAAATGCTTTTTCCGCATCTGTGGATAGCAGGAGCAACCGGGTCCCCAATTTCCTCGTATGGTGTTGGATAGAGAAAAGTCGTAGGGTGCTGTCCCTAGCTTCCCGACCTGGGATGAATCCCGTCTGGTCCGCGTGTATCAAGTCGCGGAGGAGATGTTTAATTCTGGTTGCTAGAACTTTCGTGAACAGTTTGGCGTCAACATTTAGTAGTGAGATCGGTCGGTAGCTGCTGCAATGGAGTGGATCCTTCCCTGGTTTAAGTAAAACTGTGATGGTGGCTGCTAGGGATTCCCTACCCAGGTTCCCCCCTTCACATACCGCGTTGAGTGCCTTGGTGAGCCAAGGTAGCAATACCCCGGAGAAGTTTTTATAATACCCCGTGGAAAAGCCATCTGGGCCAGGAGCCTTGCCAGTTTTGGATGACTTAAGGGCTGCGGCTAACTCCTCCACGGTGATCGGTGTGTCCAACAGTGTTGTCGAGTCCTGATTAATCGTGTTTGTGACTGTGTTGGAGAGGAAGTCCTGTATTTTTTCGTGTTCTCTCGCGGCCTCGGAAACCCCTTTAGGCGTGTACAAATTATAGAGGTGCTCGTTAAAGGACCTGAATTCCCCTGCGATTTTCTGTGGGAAGGGGGAGACCTCCCCCGAGGCTAGGCGAATCCTGAGTATTTGTCTATGGGGCAAGGGGCCTTTCAGTAGTCTATTTACCTCCTTTATTGGCGTATATGTAGTAAAAGCCTTTCGTGCGTTGTACGGATCGGAGATGCCTTTTCAAGATAAGGTCTTTAAGTTTTCTTCTGTGTTCCATTAATTCTCCGTAAACTGCGTTTAGCTGGGAGCGTTTGTGTTGGCGTTCTAGGGTCGATATTAATTGATATAAATCGACCATTTCGTGCATGAATGCCTTCCGTTTCCGGGAGGCAATGCGTATGAGTACACCGTGTATCACACTCTTGTGGGCTTCCCATATGGATATTGGGGAGGTCTCCGGGGAGTCATTTTCCCTAAAGTATTGTTCTAATGCTTGTTGAGTTTGTTCCTTGGTGTCCAGGTCTAACAGTAGAGCTTCATTGAGTCGCCAAGTCCATGCCGTCGGTCTGTACAGGGGTGAATCCAATTCTATCTCGACCGATCCATGGTCCGACCAAGTGCCTGTCTCGATCTTAGCTCCGCGTAGGTGGGAGAGACCCTCCTGTGCAATGAGGATATAGTCTATACGGGAATATCGATTGTGAAGGGCAGAATAGTAGGTGAAGTCTTTCACCGTGGGGTGAAGCGTTCTCCAACAGTCCACTAGTCTCAAGGCTTCCATCGACTGTCGGATAGATCTAATGTTATGTTGCGAAAGACAACTATGACCCGTGGAGGAGTCCAGCGTTGGGTCAAGCGGGGTGTTAAAGTCGCCTACTATCAATAGTATCCCATCCGTGAAGTCTTCTAGTTGTTGTAAAGCATTCCGGAGGAATGGGGCTTGCCTTTTATTAGGCACATAGATGGTCGCTATTGTGTTTATCTTATCTGCTATGGTGCCTTTAAGGAAGAGATATCTTCCCTGTGAGTCCTGTGTACATTCTAGTTCTTTAAATTCCAGCTCAGCAGCTAATAATATGGCTACTCCAGATTTATGAGCTATTGGGTGGTTGCAGAAGTAATTATTAGGGTAATGCCTATTCCGTAGTCTAGGGGGGGATCCTTCCTTGAAATGCGTCTCTTGGAGCATAGCTATCGCTACATGTTTTTTCTTCAATTCCTGTAGCAAGTGTGTCCTACGTTCAGGGATGTTGAGTCCTCTGCAATTCTGTGTGATAATCTTCAAGGGTGCGCTTTGGTAGGCCATGTTCTCTATATGTGTTGGGTACCGTTCCAAACGTATGCTGATCCTGGGAACCCCCCGAAGTTCCGCCACCCCCGGGAGGGCCATGCGTCTGAGTCACAGGCCGAGCCGGGGCGCGGAGGGGGGGTAGGGGAAGGAGGTGGGAAGGGGCAAGGGATAAAGGGGAAGGGAGAGAGAAGGAGATAGGAGTTGTAGCAGGTGCTACAAGTCTGAAGTCCGGGGCCCAGTACCCTGGCGTGGGGCCGGATATGCCATCTGAAATTTAAAAGGAGGTGTATACCCTTTTTTTTTGTAGGTACCTCCTCAGATTCCGGTTGGGATCCGGATCTGAACCTCCTCTACAAAGGAGGGGGAGGTCTCGCGCAGTGGCCAGTGCCAACAGGGGCTCGCTCTGGTACCAGCCCGAGAGTCGAGGGTCCCCGTAGTCTGACCACAAACCTCTTAGCGCGAGTGTATGTGTTAGGGAACATGACTCGAGCTCCGCCCAGATAAGGTGTTAAAGAGTATATATGGGGTTCTGTGCTTCACCGCGACCCCCAGAGTCATAGCTGAATGAGCAGCAACAGCATGCGTACATTGCACATTCACATTTAAGGCATGTAAGCATTAACATCGAATTAACATATTAACATATTTACATACATCGAGCCTAAGCTGGTTTCCTTAATCCAGAGCGTCCCGTCATTCCTCATTCGCTCCCCCCCAGCCGTGAACACCCTTCCAACGTCCATTCGCACCAGTCGCCCCAAGTTAACCTCCCACACCCACTGGTTTGTTGAGTGGTGGCTTCCTTAGATCCAATAGTGGTATGGTGTCTTGTGTTGTGATCCTCTGACTCGTCTTATAACTATCCCTTGGGCTCCTGATCCTATAATCATGTGCGAGTCATACGGTACTCGCATTACTCACTCCATCCCTGTTCCCAGTGGTCCCTATGGGGAAGGGGGGGGCGCATATATGGGTGCTTGTGTCGGCAGGGTGAGGGCTGGTTTGGGTGTGTGGCTATAGGTAGACAAGGACAAGTAATTAGGCATTTGTAGCTTATGTGGGTCTGGTCCCTGATCTATCTGCATATCTACGTAATTGTTAGCAATGAGGTCCAGATTATGTCGGGTAGCAGTATGTGTTCCCACACTATCATTCCCGAAGGACAGATATATCTAGGAAATGCAATGGGGCCTAATTTGGGTGCTACCAGCTGCTTCTACCTGATGCTTCTTGGGTATAGCGGGTTTGTAAGATTGAGTGTAGCGGTGGTTGTGGGTCAGTCAGGGTATATTAATATGCATCATTAATAATCAAAATTATTTCCCGCTACCTCCCCCCCCCCACCCCATTTCATCCCCATGGATCAAAGTCGCTGTGTCTAAGTGTAAGTGGACCAGATCAAAGTCCGCATTTGTGTCCAGGGTTTTCTGTCTTTGTGCTGATTATCAAACAGGACTTTTGGTATCCGCGTTGCCCCCTGTGCCCCCCCCCAAGGTATTGTGTGCCTACTCCATGTTGGGCATCAACCGGGGTATAAAATCAGGGGGTGGTCTAAATACACATCCCGTATGCTTGCTCCAGGAGTATATCAGCCCCCGTTCCCCCCTCCCCAAGCCCCAAAGCGCTATCCCAGTGTACCTGAGCATGTACCGTACACCAATCCTGCTCATCTAGGACATCGGGAAGTAGGGGTGGGTCGCGGGCGTCCAGTGGATGGAGATCAGCTCACTAGGGTCATCTGCATTAGTGGGATACACTGGGTATTGGCCTGGGTATGCTACCAAGGGGCGTTCTGTGGCGGTCGTGGACGTGGGTGGATAGGCATATTCACTCCTCTGGGGATGTCGGAGCTCCTCGTCTTCTGGTGTTTTGAGCCGGATGAGTCCTCACCTCCCGCTGCCTAGGCCCTCTCTGCGGTCTCTGTTGCGGGCCTGGTGTTCCCAGTATCCAGTTGGGGACCGCCGGTGAGGGGAGGCCCAATTCTCCCATTAACCGCGGCACCTCTTCTGGCCATCTCATGATCACCCATCTGTTCTGGTGTCTGGCCATCAATGCAAAGGGGAATCCCCACTTATATGGTACATTGCGGTCTCTTAATGTCGCTGTAACCGGGCGGAGGGCCCTCCTGGCCTCCAACGTTATGGGTGATAAGTCATTATAAAGCGAGACTTAAGCTACTCTAAAGGGCCAGGTCTGCCTTTCCCAGGCTTTTGCCATGAAGGAGAAGGAGTGTAGGCAGCATATTAGGTCCCGCGGCCCGTCTTCAGCTGCTCGAGGCCTCAAGGCCCTATGCGCCCTCTCGAATTCTATCTCTGGCGGTGGGGATGGTTGCAGTAGAGAACGGAAAAGTTCTGTTAGTATTTCCTCCGCGTTTTCTGTCCCTTCGGATTCTGGCACACCACGGACCCGAATGTTGCACCTCCTGCCCCTGTTGTCTACATCTTCAAGGTGTAGACGCATGGAGAGCAACATCTCACCTTGGCGTGCTACAGCTGTATCAGTAGCTGCCACGCGGGCTGCGAGAGCCGCACTTGCCTCCTCCGTCGCGGTAATGCAGCCTGCTTGTGCGGTTAGCTCCGTGCGGATCCCCGCTACCTCTGTCCACAGTGTGTCCTGGATGGTGGTTGTTATAGCCTGTAGGTCGGCTTTTGTCACCATTGAGGCTGTCAGATCCCGCAGGGTGCACTCAATCCTGTCTAGGGCCGGCATCCCCTGTTCCGGAGTGGAGGACGCCGCCATCTTGGGGCTTACCGAGTCTCCGCTCGCCCCGGGCTGCGGCTGCAGGTATCCGTCCAGCGGGCCCTGGGAGGTGTTCCTTGGGGTCTGGGGCTGCTCTAGGCATTTAGTGCGCCCCATTAAGCTTAAGCTGCTCGCTCTTGTCGCTGTATTAAGGTCCGGCGAAACGGAGCTCACTCCTCACGTGGCCATCTTGGTCAGAGCCGGAACCACGCCCTTGGAGGCAGCAGCAAAGAAAGAGCTCTGAGTATTTTTTTAATAGGTCAATTTGCCCTAAAATTAAAAGGTTTTTTTTTCAATGATCACAAAACAATATAATCTTAAAATCACCATCAGCAATGACAAACAAGATCACCATCATTGTAAAGGTGTCCAATTCTCAATGTCAATTCACTTTAATTTGCCTATTAGCCATGGTATGCCGATGACCCCATTAACTACACCTTCACATACCAGTTACTCAAGCAGTATTTTGCCCTGCCATTGATTTCATTGGCCCATTGACCCACACATTGCAGCTATCAGCATTAGAACTGATTAAACAGAAATGAATGCAGGTTGTTGCTGCAAGGAGAGGAATTCTAAACTTTACAAGTGATGATTTGGAAAAACAAAAATTGCAGGAAAGTGGGGTAAATATTGTAATGCAAGATATATACATAATATATATAGGCACATGTTCCCACTATTTGGTAACACATCAAGTGAGAAATATTACCCAATAGAGGGAAAAAGAGTAGAGAAATCTGAAAAAATATATACTTTATTTAATATATATTAAATATAAACAATACAAATGATCCTTGCACTCTGGCCGACAATGCTTAGTGCCAGGTGCCAGTCCTAGGCATATATGCACCAAAATTACAAAGATGGGCTGCACTCATGGTCTTCGTTACAAAATTCTAGTACTTTATTGTGTACCAATTGCAAGCCACTGTTCTTTGTGGTAAGAAAGTAAGGGTCGGTCAATGTTTCAGTTACTCCAAAGGACTTTCCTCAGGACCACTAACTCTGAACATCATAACTAAAAAATATAATAAATTGATATATATATATATACATTTTCTTTACTGCTCCTCTTAGTTTTCTTTTATTGGTCACCTCTCACTTGATATGAAAATAAAATCAACATGTAGTAGTTGTCCCCTGACCACCAATCATCCTTTTTTCTCTTCAACCATCTTTATTTGTAGAACCAGGGTTGAAACTACATCTCAAAGCAAACAAACATGCTTGTTCATCTCCCTAGTTATTTGCTCATTTACATGTCCATATGGTTTGTGTGAGATATGGAATGTGTACTTTATTGGAATGTGGTCTAAATACATACGAATTGCGATTCGCCCAAAATTGAATGCAAAAGTCTATGGTTAAACTTCTTCTTGTGGTTAGGACTATACTCTGGGTTACTATGTATGCTGAGATTTTAGCAGGGACACATACTCTGCAAAATTAAACCAAATATTTACTGCTTGTAGAAAAGGCTATCAAACTTTATTTTCTTGCACGGCCAACAATAAACACAATCTGATAACTTTAGTTTTCCAGTCTCTATGGTTCCTTCGATGGAAGAGTGTTCAAGTCCTTCTGTTTGGCTAACTTCTTCTCTCAATTGGGATATCTCCCTCAATTGTTTATGTATTGAAAGACAAAAAATGAGGTCCTGGTTGCAACAACAGCTATTTTTAAGCTAACAATAATAAAGGTGCATGAGACCTTCTAAACATCTAATAACTTAGCTTACCTTCCTTCCTTATTGTTATAGAACTCCTGTGGCTTAACCAACATACCTCTAAGATTTATTTGATTGATTAAACTTGTCAGACAGGACAGTACCTTGAACTGGTGCCACACACACAATGATACACCCATATATACAAGCAAACAACATACAGCACACACACACAAATATATATACAGTTGGTTGTTGATTATGAAAGAAGCAGAACATAATATTCATTCATAGAAGTCAGCCATATCAGGGTAGCTATGTAAGGTGATGATAGTGAGTGTGGAAGTTAGTTGCTGGCTTAAAGTGGCTCAGTATCACAGATATTTACAGATCACTTACAGTGTGTCATTTTGAACTCAAGTAGGCTGGTGAGAAGAGATAAGTACCAGGAGCCTTGGCCAGTGTCCTCAGTAGTCTAGTCAAACTTAATAGCAGAGCTACCGGAACATTTAAAGAGTGTGTAAAACTCAGTACTGTCCCAGCTCCCCCAGTGTCTGTGTGTTAGAATGGACAGGACTTTTTCTGTGTAATTTTCTTACACAGGAAATTACTTTAAGGAGGAGCAGAGAAAGCTGTGAGTGATGCAAATTGTATAACTGCTCCTGCAGCTCTAATATCAATCCTAGGAGACCAACTGATCTACAGAGACTTAGGAGGGTGAGTACATTGCAAATAACCCTTCCAATACCCATTTTCTCTAACCCTAACTTAATTCCTGCCTAAATCTAAAGAAACCTATTCCTTAATTCCAAATTTAAGAACTCAAACCTAATCTGGAAGATTAAACCTTTTCCTTAATCCTATGTTTAATTCCTCTTAAAGAAGCTCATACCTCATACTAGACGTATCTCAAGTCTAACCCCCAACCTTAATAATTCTAAACACCTCATTTACCCCAATACTAAATTTAACCCACTCTAATCCTAAACACAAAAATAAAAAACTGCCCTTATACTGCAATTTAACCCCTTCCAAGCTTTTAATCTCCGTAACACTAAACACATGTGTAATATAACTGATCTCAACCACTCTTTAACCATACACTCCCCTTTACCCTAACTACTTCCAGAGAAGGATTAAGACCACATGGAGCTAGATCACTCTACACAGGTTACCAGTTTGGGCCATCGCTTTAATCTTCACATAGGGGTGGTTAATGGGACAAAGCAAATGAATGATTATGGGATCTCTGTGTACTCCTGAGCCCTATGTAGTCCTATAGTTAAAACCTGCTTTGACCACTTCTGACATTATTTTTAACCCTGCATGCATTTACACAGCTGCATACACTCATTATGCGCACAGATTCAAACACAATACATTACAAGCAGGAATATACACATACACACATATATACATATGCATTTGTCAAACTCAATTAAAGTACAGCAGAGAATTTTGTGCTTACAAAGACCTGACAGAAATTTAGATAGATAGATAGATAGATAAATAGTTTATATTAAATGTCTATTATCTAATTTACTTTAATTTATTATTTTCCTCTGCTTTTCTCAGTGTTCCTATAATATTGCATTCAAGAGAAAACTTCCCTATCAATTTTCATGTCCTTGGCAACTCTTGTATCCAAGACAAATATCCAATTAACATGACATCTGTTAATGATTTTCTGTTAATCATTCCCTCTGCAACCCGACTTGAGGCTTTAAATAGTCGTTAACTGCTGTAAAAGGTATGCTATACTACATGGGCTCTGAAGCAACAGAAATCTTCACGTTCAGCTCTTTGAAGCAGAATATATGTCAAAAAATGAAACTCCAGCTATTTTGAAAAATATTTTGAGATCAATTTTTAGCTTGAGAGAAATAAAAATAATTTTGGTTTTCAGGAAAACTGCAGTATGGAAGCCTAGAATTTGAGTGGTAATCAGAATTCCACAGAAAACATGTAAAAATAATTTATTCATTAGTGATTGGACATATTTTCTGAATAGCAAAATAGGAATGGTCAAACATAAGAATTTAAGAACACTATGAAAGCAGCAACAACAAAAAGTTAAGATAATAAGAAATATAACAGAAAATGCATATGTTCAAAGTGAAGTCATGTAAAAATTTAAATTTAAAATCATAGGAAAAATCTTTGAAGATCATTCAAGTATACAAATAACTAAATGTAACTACAAAATCAGTAATACGTTTACTCACTTGAAGCGATGTCATAGGATTGACTATATGAGCAAAGGCAGGCTGGTACTATAATATATTATCTATTTAATATATTTAAAGGGACAATCTAAGTAGCAGAACACCAGAACAATTATATAGTGTAGTGTTGTTGTTACAGTAATGGTACATAGAAACTTCCCCGTTCTTTCACAATGTAAAATATTGTAATTTCTGAAAGAGATAAACATTTAAATTTGTCTTAAAATGTTATATATATATATATATATATATACATATATATATATATATATATATATACAAACAAAAAAATAATTCCTGCACTCCAACCTTAAAAGTATATAAATACCTGGTGCTCTGGTTGCAAAATTAATAGTCCAAAAAGTTACCGGCACTCACGGTTTTCTCAATTAGTATCTCTTTATTCCAAATTTAATATCGACGTTTCAGCTCCTCAAGGAGCTTTCATCAGGACATAAAACACACATAAAATGAGCAAAGCTTATATAGGGAACAATTAATGTGAATACTTACAACACAGGTGGTCCTCACTCACTCCCGCCGCCAAATTCGCACCGGTCGCTAATGCGGAAGTGAATTCACTTCCGGGTTGCTATCCACGTGATCGGAGGAAGGAGAGTCTCAATTGGTCGGCAATGCCTCGTTACTAGGCAACTAGAGACTAATTTGTCTCCTTAGAACCTCCCTTCAGTACGGGCTCAATTGCGGACCAAAACTCTGAAGCCCTCCATAGTATCAGCACGTTGCCATAACAACCGGGCAGAAGCCCGAACGGCAAGAGGGAGGAGGAACACTAAATAAGACATTAATCAAAGGGCATAGTATTGTACAAAAAAGACACATAATAATACAAAAAAGAATAGCAATATTGAGGATAAATTAAATGTAAAAAATATATGATATATAAAAAAATACCTAAAAAAAGTGATAAGAGGAATTAATCTAGATCCCTATGTAAACACATTGTATCAGTGCTTTTATTTAAATAATGTTCACCTGGTGATCATACTATGGCCAGACTTGGCTAGTGCTATTATATATTGTTATTAATAGTATGAATGTGCAAAAGAAGTTTATCTAATTCTTCTGATATATAATAAGTGTAAAGGATATATATATATTGTGTGCAAAAAGTGAAAAGTTGAGTTAAAGTGCATAATTGCCTCAATAAAACTATATATAAAAATTATCCTCAAATATTACTAAATATAGTTCATTCAAATATAGTCCCTTAAAAAGTGTCTAAAAAGTCATATGTATTCAGAAAAGGTTAGTATGAATTAGATTGTCCAGTTAGAACTTGTAATATATTATTCACTTTGTTACTTTTTTATTGTCTATCAGAAACTGGAATACCTTCTTGTGGAGGGTAAGACAGAATGGAATTATGTATGATTTGGACCCTGTCCATATTACATTACACATTACATTTGTTTTTTAGCAGTTCCTCATCGCAATACAGCGCACACGTAGTGCGGTTGTTGTTGCAATGTGGTTCTTTGGGAAGCCTGAACACATATTTATGCAAACCAGTTTGATAAGGATTATCCTGTATGTATATTGATTGATGTATATTCGTGTGTTAGGATGAACAATGGGTAATCGATTGATACTCCCTTCTTAGTGTTTTGTTTCATTTTCTAGCAATCAGTAACTAGAAAAGATTAAATATTTAGGAATAGACAGAAGGTCGTCAGTTTGTGGTATAAACATTGTTGCCAGTAGAACTCTTCCAGTGAAACTGTTACAGATCCTCCGTGTATGTTTTTAATGATATGTTCACTGTCTGACGTTGTGATTGTTACTAGGCAACGGGATTGTTTAGGTCACATGATACGACGTCATTACGCACGTAATGGCGGGTGCCAGTTGGCGTCTAACACAGGGCGGTATGAATCGTAAGGGGCTCACTTTGATCATTGGGTAAGTTTACAAGATTCACAGGTATATATTGATTGTTTGTTACACTGTTGGGACATCTTGATAAAGACCGCGAGACGGTCGAAACGTTGATTGGTATGTTCATGATTTAATATAAGCAACTTCTATCAAATCCAGTGAGTGCTCTCATTTTTTGCTGTTTCTATATTGACATTGAGAAGCACCTTGGTGTTTATAATTTTCTAACATTTTTGGGCAGAGTGCCAGAGTTTGGATGTTTTTATATATATATATATAACAAATTGCGTAGAGATAGCACTCCCGGGACTCCAAAGGTGTAAAAAGAAAATGTAACTTTTATTTTCCAAATTTAAAAGATCAACGTTTCAGTTTGTCACCCAAACTTTCATCAGTTCTTTATATATATATAAAGAAAGGGCTGCACTCACATTCTTACAGTCAAATAAAAATGGAAGTTAGGAAAAAGTAGAGAAAATATTACGGTGCTACTATCACCTAGTTTGAATCACTCCAACACACAAGAATATACAAAGTGCAAATCAAAAGAATGGTGAGAGCACTCAATAGAAATTATGAAAATTTTGCCAATACTGTTCTGGACATGTATCTAAAATAACAAAATATAAAAAGAGACCATAGGGTAATATTGTTACAAACAAATATAGAAAGCCATTTGTAACTGGTCAAACTCACATATTACTGAGTCACTTAAAAAAGCTGACTCAAACTTAAAGCTGGTAGCGGAGATAAACCTTGTAACCCAGGACTTCTGTAACGGTCTGAATGAATCCCTCTGGATGTAATCAATGTAATCAATCCAGGATACAGGAACAAATTAACACTTCTTTATTGATAAAAATGAAATAAAAAAACAATTACAGGATAATGTCCTTAACCCCTTCAGGAATGAGGACGGTTCAGGACCGTCATCGGCATTTTTGCGTTGCCGCCTGGTGATGGTCCTGAACCGTCCTAACGGTCCAATGTACTTACCCGATTGCCGTCGTTCCCCCAGCAGCGATCGGTGTTGCTCCCGTTGTGGGGAGACTGCCTGAAGCCCAGACAGTCTCCCCATGGCAGATTAGGACCCTTGTGGCCATGTGATCGCTCAACAGAGCGATCACATGGTCACAATAGGTGTCCATGTGTATGCCTGCAGGGGGACTGCCTGTGCTGACAGGCAGTCTCCCTGCTAGTGTAAAATAATAAAAAAAATTAAAGTTAAAGTTAATAAAAAAAAATGTAAATTATGTATGTGTATATATATATATATATATATATATATGATATATAGACATATATATATATATAATATATGTCTATATATCATATATATATAATGTCATACTAAGTGTATTTTTATATTAATATGTACATATATTAATATAAAAATACACTTATAATTAAATTACACACGCATATATATAATATATATAATGACTATATATATTGTATATAAATATTATTATAAAATACAAATAATAAGTAATTTAAATTAAATAAAAACATGTAAAAATAATAATAAAAATGTAAAAAAAATATATCTATATGAAATTTTATTCTAACTGTATTTTGATAGTAATATATATATATTTATATCAAAATACACTTAGAATAAAATTGTATATATATCTATGAATATATAAATAAATAAAAATAATATGAAATATACAAATGTCCATATACAAAATTACATAAATAATTATATAAATATACAAGTAGACTTCAAATATATAAATATGCATATATTATCAAAGTCTACGTGCATATTTATGTCATATTTTTACATAATTAAGTAATTTTATTGATTGCAATTTGAGGGACCTGCCTGCCAACCCAGGCCAAAAGTCCAGAGAATTTAATTTGCTAGCACTATATTTTACCCTGTATCTTTCTATGACACCCTAAAACCTGTACATGGGGGGGTACTGTTTTACTCAGGAGACTTCGCTTAACACAAATATTAGTGATTCAAAACAATAAAATATATCACAGCGATGATATTGTCAGTGAAAGTGACCTTTTTTGCATTTTTTTACACACAAACAGCACTTTTACTGATGATATAATTGTTGTGATACATTTTCCTGTTTTGAAACACTAATATTTGTGTTCAGCAAAGTCTCCCGAGTATAACAGTACCCCCCATGTACAGGTTTTATAGCGTTTATGAAAGTTACAGGGTCAAATATATGGGTCAAATATTTTTACATTGAAAAAGGCCAGGTTAGTTACGTTGTCTTTGAGAGCGTATGGTAGCCCAGGAATGAGAATTACCCCCATGATGGCATACCATTTGCAAAAGAAGAAAACCCAAAGTATTGCAAATGGGGTATGTCCAGTCTTTTTTAGTAGCCACTTAGTCACAAACACTGGCCAAAATTAGCGTTCAATTTAGTTTTTTACTTTTTTCACACACAAACAAATATGAATGCTAACTTTGGCCAGTGTTTTTGACTAAGTGGCTACTAAAAAAGATTGGACATACCCCATATTGAATACCCTGGGTTGTCTACTTTAAAAAAAATATGTACATGTGGGGTGTTATTCAGAGATTTATGACAGATAATAGTGTTACAATGTCACTATTGATAAATTTTAAAAATGTATGTTTTGAAACCGCAATATCCTACCTGTACCTATAGCCCTATAACTTGCAAAAAAAAGCAAAAAAGCATGTAAACACTGGGTATTTTTAAACTCAGGACAAAATTTTGAATCTATTTAGCAGTTTTTTTCATTTGCTTTTGTAGATGAGTAAAAGATTTTTCGAGTAAAAGTAAAAAAACTGGTATTTTTTTCAATTTTTCTTCATATTTTTTTTTTCAATTAAAGTACATGAGATTATATAAATAATGGTATGTAAAGAAAGCCCATTTTGTCCTGAAAAAAACAATATATAATTTGTATGGAAACAGTAAATGAGAGGGCGGAAAATTACAGCTAAACACAAACACCACAAAAGTGTAAAAAGAGGCCTGGTCGCAAATGTACAACATCGCAAAAACAGTCCAGTCCTTAAGGGGTTAAAATATACCACGACGCGTTTCGGCAATAGTGCCTTTCTCAAGTGGTGCTGTCCGTCCATCTCTGCTATTTCTGTCTTTATACAGGAAATTTTGGCACCCATCGTTGAAATTTCTATGTCTTCCGGTTTTTGTTTTCATTATCTTGCGTCGTCCGACGTCTTCATTGCGTCTCTTGTGGCATGACATCACTTAGGTGATGTTTCCATAGAAATTTCAATGATGGGCGCCAAAATTTCCTGTATAAAGACAGGAATAGCAGAGATGGACGGACAGCACCACTTGATAAAGGCACTATTGCCGAAACGCGTCGTGGTATATTTTAAGGACATTATCCTGTAATTGGTTTTTTATTTCATTTATATCAATAAAGAAGTGTTAATTTGTTCCTGTATCCTGAATTGATTACATCAATTACATCCAGAAGGATTCATTCAGACTGTTACAGAAGTCCTGGGTTACAAGGTTTATCTCCGCTACCAGCTTTAAGTTTGAGTCAGCTTTTTTAAGTGACTCAGTAATATGTGAGTTTGACCACTCACAGTCTTGCTGAATAATATAAACTTCTTTATTGAGGGTCCAGGGATCAACATTTCAGTCCCTTACCGGGCATGTAACAATATCACATTTCTTAAAACAACTTCCCGTGACTTTGGACTTGAACATAGTCTGTGTATCTTTTTTGAAAAGGTATTTTTGCATGGTAAACACATTTTACAAGGATAAAGGCCTGTTTTTTGATTAAAACATTTTTTTTCTCTTTGTTTACATGTTCAAGTGCAAAATCACGGGAAGTTGTATTAAGATACGTGATATTGTTACATGCCATTCTACTAATGTGGTGTATCTCCTCTGGTGCTCCTGTGGGCTCCAATACGTGGGTATGACTACAAGAAGCTTTAAAACCTGTATTATAGAGCACATGGAGAACATACAGAGGGGATACACCAAACATAGTGTATCAGCATATTTCCTGGAAAAACACAATGGTGATGCTTCCCTTTTAAGTTTTAGTAAAAATTAAAATCCAGCTTTTGGATTTTGGATTTTGCTAGTTTTATTAAAAACACATAATCTAGGCAAAAATAATGGAGGTTTAGTTACATTATACGATCATTAGTGATGTCCCAAACTGTTCGCCAAACGGTTCGCGAACGGTTCGCCACGAACGGTTTGCCGCGGACTCATCATTGAGTAAACTTTGACCCTGTACCTCACAGTCAGCAGACACATTCCAGCCAATCAGCAGCAGACCCTCCCTCCCAGACCCTCCCACCTCCTGGACAGCATCCATTTTACATTCATTGTGAAGCTGCATTCTTAGTGAGCTGTCCAGGTGGGAGGGTCTGGGAGGGAGGGTCTGCTGCTGATTGGCTGGAATGTGTCTGCTGACTGTGAGGTACAGGGTCAAAGTTTACTCAATGATGAGTCCGTGGCGAACCGTTCGTGGTGAACCGTGGCGAACTGTTCGTGAACCGTTCGGCGAACAGTTCGAGACATCACTAATGATCATACATTGCATAAGCCTGCCAAAATGTTAATGTACCCCATGTTCAGGGCCGGACTGGGGATACAAAGCAGCCCTGGAAAAAAAATCTATGCCAGCCCCATAAGTCATTGTGCTATGTAGGGTGTTTTTATATTATATATATATATATATATATATATATGCAATTGAAATAGTTGGCTGCACTCTCGGATTTCCTTAAAACGTAACTTTTATTGAAATATTTAAGAGAAGATCAATGTTTCAGTCCCTCTTGTGGACTTTCATCAGGATCATGATGAAAGTCCACAAGAGGGACCGAAAGATTGATCTTCTCTTAAATATTTCAATAAAAGTTATGTTTTAAGGAAATCTGAGCGTGCAGCCAACTATTTCAATTGCATATATATATATATATATATATATAATATAAAAACACCCTACATAGCACAATGACTTATGGGGCTGGCATAGATTTTTTTTCTAGGGCTGCTTTGTATCCCCAGTCCGGCCCTGAACATGGGGTACATTAACATTTTGGCAGGCTTATGCAATGTATGATCATTAGTGATGTCTCGAACTGTTCGCCGAACAGCCTGGATACTGGAGCCCTGGTGATGCACCCGGTCACACAACTTTGAAGCCTGAGTGCAAGGTACAACAGCTTTTACATATATATATATATATATATATATATATATATGTATATATTATTGATACATTTCTTCTTTCAGGGTAATTAAATTATACAGTAAAGCATATTTACACACAGACACAGACAATCTTACTGATGCACACAAATAGGTTCATTGACAGACAATCTCAATGACACACACAGACAAGGTTACTGGCACACACACAAATTTAGTACAGACAAAATCTGATACACACACAAGCTTACTACAGACATGCTCACTGTCACACACACATGCTCACTACAGACAAGCTCACTGATGCGCACACACTCTCCCTACAGACAAGCCCATTGACACACACATGCTCCCTACAGAAGAGCTCACTAACACACAGATTCACTACAGACAAGCTCACTGACACACACATGCTCACTACAGACACGCTCACTGACACACATTTGGTCACCACAGACAGGCTCCGACACACCCATGCTCCTTACAGACAAGCTCACTAACACGCACACACACATATGATTCCTACAGACAAACTCACTGATACACATACAAGCTCACTCACTAGCAGGCACACACACACACAAACTCACTAGCAAGCACACACATACAGAGGCTACTTCACTAGCAGATGCGTGCACACACACACACACACACACACAGAAGCTCGCTCGCTCGCTCACTAGCAGATGCACACACAAAGACATCCATACACACAGAGGCAGACAGTCACTGACACCGAGGCAAACATCCACACATACAGAGACAGGCAGACACAAACAGTTACACACAGGCAGACAGTTACACATACAGGCAGTCACACACACACACACACACACACAGGCAGACAGTCACAAACACAGGCAGTCACACACACACACACAGGCAGACAGTCACACACGTAGACAGTCACACACACAGTCACACACATGGGCAGACAGTCACACACACACACACACACACACAGACAGTCACACACACAGGCAGACAGACAGACACACACACACAGACAGTCACACACACACAGGCAGTCACACACACACACAGACAGTCACACACACACACACAGACAGTCACACACAGGCAGACAGACACACAGGCAGTCATACACAGACACACTAACCTCCTTCTTACCTCCTGCTTGGAGCTCCTGGAGAAAGCAGGGACTCCTCCTGCTTCCCATGCTGCATTAGACAGGCCCCGCCGCACGCTATGCCCCACCCCCGCTGCATGCTAAGCCCCGCCCCCTCGTGCACTAAGCTCCGCCCCGCCTCAATATTATTTTAAATTTAAAAAAAAAATTATGATCCCGGCCGGCCATGTGTGAGCTGTGCCGGCTGCCTTGCTCCCCCTGCTCCCATGGGGCTCTGTGCGGCCGCACAGCTCACACATGGCCAGCCAGGATCACAGGAGCCTGAGCAATGATAAGGGCTGTCAGCCCAGCCCCAGGTGCCGCGGCCCACCGGGAATTTCCCGGTATCCCGGTGGGCCAGTCCGGCCCTGCCCATCTTTGACAGGTCCTACACTACCAACCGTCTACTAAATGAGCTACTCACTTGGGAAAATCCTTCCATCTTGAGTTCTCTGCAGTACAAGGCTAAATAGCAGTACAAGGCTAAATAGAGTACTGCAAAGAACTTTAGACTAAATAAGCTACTCACTTGGGGAAATCCTTCCATCTCGAGTTCTCTGCAGTACAAAGCTAAATAGCAGTACAAGGCTAAATAGAGTACTGCAGAGAACTTGAGATGGAAGGATTTCCCCAAATGAGTAGCTCATTTAGTAGACAGTTGGTTGGTAGTGTAGGACCTGCCAAAGATGGGGTATATTGACGTTGTGGCAGGCTTATGCAATGTATGATCATATAATGTAACTAAACCCCCATTATTTTTTTGCCTAGATTAGGTGTTTTTAATAAAACAAGCAAAATCTGTCAGCACCAAAGTAGCTGTTTAGAAGATAAGGGAGTGCGCTGGATTTTCATTTTTACTGTACTTATTGGCCCCCAGCAGCACCCCATTTAAGCATGTTCAGGTGAGTGCAGCCAGCCCCTTGTTTTCCCTTTTAAGTTTTATGGTGATTGGGAAAAAGCAGATCAACTGGAGAGGAGAAGATAATGTCCGAGAACTCAGTAAATTAGAGGGCAAATGGATTTTTACTTTGGATACCATGTACCCCAAAGGTCTTAATATAGATTTTGAAATTAGTAAATTTTTTATGATTATACCACTTTTTATATTTAAATATTAGATATTTTGATAACTTTTTATATAAATCCTATATGTATAAATATATTTTTTTTTAATTACATTTTATATCATACTCGGCATATCTCCCCACCCAGACACTCATTCTGCTTCATTTTATATGCTTTATTTTACATGTACATTATTATTTTTTATATTAACATATACTTTTTTTGCATTAGCTACTGATTCACAGCTTATTTACTGTTTTATACTTTGTCTCCTTTTTAAACTTTATCTGCACATATGGGCAAGTGCCCACTGTTAGTATGGACTTTACTGGAACTATTTCCACCATGCCTGTGTATGGAACGCACAGTGGAACGCAACATTATCATGTGACCACATCAAATCGGAAGTCACGTGGTTTTGCCGAACCGGAAGTCACGTGGTTTTGCCGAACTCGAAGTGACACAACTGGCAATATTCTTGAATCACAACCGGAACAGCTTGAACACATCAAGAGGGGTATTTAAACCCTGAAAACACTCCAGTGATACAGCACTGAGGAAGTCCCTATCTAGGGTTGAAACGTGTTTGCTATCCACTGGACTTTTATTGAGACTATCCTGCTGGCGGTATTTTATGTTTATATGCCTTTGTATTTTTACTGCTTTTAATTCTTGGCCACATTTTGCGGTGCAATACTATACTTGAATACCTGGCTTACCTTTGTCCCTTAACTCATATATTTTTAATTATACTATCAAATAAATTTGTATTTAAACTATCCCACCATTGTGAATACTGAGTTCTTCATAGAAGCATATTGAGAGCCTGGATAGGCACCCAAGGGTGATGTACATAGAGCCTATGTGCCTCCACCTTTGTGAGTTTATTCCACATATACTTTAATCTTTTTATACTTTATGTTATGGAAAGCACTATGTATATCTAATTTGTTTTTCAGATGAAACTACAGTATTTATACTTGTAATAGGTGGTATATTTATACATTTCACCTTTTTTAGTGTGTGTGAATCTATTCCTATTTTCTTATTTTGTCTTTAGGTGTTAAGGGATTACACCTTTTTCACACCCACGCGAATTGTTATTTCTATATTGGGAGCGCCTACACAACCTTTTGAATATATTTGTTTGTAAAGGTATTGAATTACCTAATACCATATCAAAGGGTAAAGTTAATCCCCCTGTAAGAAAGGCATTCCTGAGTTTGGTCACATGACCCCTGGATTGGGAGTATGGAATTCAGCAGATATCATTGGACTTAACAGCAGGATAAGCTCCTTAACTGATGGCATGGGACATGCTATGAAAATAGGTGGGGTAGCTGACTCCATTATAGTGAGAAGACTGACAGACAATGTGGATAGACACTATTTCCCACAACTTACATTTGGTAGAAGAGAATATTGCTTCCATTGCTAACAGTATTAAGAAGTGGGAAATGCCATATTTTGTTCTGTTAGCAGGTTGAAAGGACACTATTAAAATGATTATTCTTACCAATGTAGAGACACATCCAGTCCTACGAACTCTGCTGCTAGTACTCATGTTCATTCAAGTAATAACAACAGTTATAACACTATGCTTTTGTGTGGCAATGAAATAGATGATGAAGAAACCTGCAAAGGGGGAGATATTTAAATGTTTTTTCTTCTTCTTCTTCTCTTCTCTCTCTAACATACATTCTTCAATAAAGTTTTACATTGCACATACACAAACATTCTTTCAGGAAAGTATCACACCCCTCACCTAAATTCTATCAACAATATACTAATGCTTTAAGTTCTGTTTTTTTGCGACACTTTGTATAATATGTGAATTGACAGCAATAGGAAAGTACAGAAGAACTTATGTTGCTGAGGGAACTATTCCAGAGGAATGGTGGGTTGAATTTCTCCCGTATATCAGGTTTTTGCTCCCACTAGGTTCTCCTGTACTAGAGGGATAGCTAGATAACAGAGCAACATAGAAGAAGAAAAAGTGGGGGAATGCAACCCCTATTTGACTATTCTTTCACCTTGCTCATCTTACTCATTATAAATC